AGGAATGCATTAGATTTGTGCAGGGACATTGATTCTTTGCTATTTATTTCATGTAATCCTTTTTTTTTTCACCTCAAATGTCAAGTTAAAATCATTATTTAAACTGCATTTGCTCTGAAGTGTTTTCAGAATAATTTTTGCTGATGGCTGAACACAATCTTCACAATTCCTGCCTAGGATGCAACCTTCACCCCGTAAAACAGAGGCCCTCCATGCTGTAAGGGCAAACCACTCCGTCCTGAAGACAAAGGGTGTCCAACAGACTTCTCCAGGCCTGGTCACAGTAGCCCAAGGCAGAGCAGAGACTTCTTTAATTTGGGGATCAGAGCTCAAAATGCTCGAGGTGCTGAAACTGAGCAACTGACCCCATCCTTTTCTCGCTTAGAATTATACTGATGAAACCTTAGAGAAAAGGAACCAGTCTGCTTTTTTTGCATGCTTTGTTGCAAAGGAGTTCAACAATCCAGGGACTCAGTCCTGCAGACCTTTCCCACAGGAGTTCCTCACTCACATGAGCATTCCCGTGAGTGTGAGCCGCTTTACGCACAAGACCGCAAGTGTCAGAATTGGCACACAGTAATGTTTGTCTTCAACAGTAATTGACCATCAGCTCCAGACTTAGTTTGGAGAAGAGTTTCACCCCTGTGACTTGTGAGGATCACCGCTGAGCAGAGGGGAGCGGAGAGGGTTATAGTCACGTCAGTTCTGGCCAGGGACCTCGGGAGTTACACCGAAGTGTTTGTAGAGCACCTTGCACAGAAGGGCCTTGGCCCTGACCAGGGCCTGTAGGCACGATTGCGGTGCGGGTGATTATAGCAATGATGACTTTCACTGAAGGAGTCACTGAGCTGAAATGCATCTAACGTGATATAAATCTAGGAGAGCATCCATAATAATAAAGTTAATCTTACAAGCAGTTCCATTTCCGTGATGGTTGTTTACATGTCTGAGAAACATTTGTTTTGTACTGTAAGAAAAGAAAAGGAAAAAAAACATTAAAGATCCTTTTATGGTAAAATGCAGAAAGAGTTAATTTTTTGTAAGCTTAAAGGCAAAACCCAAATAAGTAATTAAATTACCATTGTTAGCAAAGTTAAAGAGAAGGGATCTGACGTGCTCTGGTAACATACCGTGACATGATCAAACTCCTTTGGCTTAATAAATGTATACGTGAATGGTAACAAAATTCCGAGGCTCCCTCTCTTTATTTTTTAATATTTAAAGTGAAAAGCTCATATTCGTTAGTGGTGTTTTTCTGAATTTGGTGATGTTCATGCCAGCGATGCACACGCTGCATTCAGAGGCCGATCGGCAGTTTCGGGTCTTCCGTGTCCGTGTTGGGTAGCGCAGGACTTGTGCAGGAGTGCCAGCTGTGTCCCGCGACTCGTGACAGGTGTGTCTAACCCCTGGGCGCCGTGTGCCCGCAGCTCCTAAACCTGCGCCTGTACCGGACTCCCCCGGGTTACAGAGGATTATTATGGATTGCATAATAAAAAATGGGGGATGGTGGTGATGCAGCAGGGCAGGCACACAGCGGGTCGCTGCCAGACTCAAAAAAAATCCCAGGGAGAGACTTGCTGATCTTCTCCAGAGTCCGGGCAGTGGCAGCCGGCCCTTGGGGGCGGGGGGGGTCATTTTCCAATACGTGGGGTTCTCGCTGGGACAAAGTGTCAGGGCATGACCCAGAAGGGACCCAGCAGGCGCAGGGACTGACTTGCAAGGCAGAGCGAAACGCCTGGGTGGCAATGTTTGCCGCAGTTGACAGAGTAGAAAGAGAAAAGCCTTTACAAGAAAAGTTCTGGTAGTCTAAAAACTTAGCCCCAAGATGCAAAGTAACAAAAAAATCATGTAGTTCTGCTTGGGATGCAAGGTCCCAGTTTTACACATACTGCTGGGTTTTAATACAGACATCAGTGAAGTTAGATGTGGAAAACAGTGAGTTATCTCAGTGTAGCCCTGAGAGCAAACGCAGCAGATGTTCACCAGTGCCACACTCATTCCTGGTTGGACTTCATGATCTTAGAGGTCTTTTCCAACCTCAACGATTCTGTGATTCCCAGCCAGGGAGACAGAGCCAAACAGTGACAACTGCGCTCATGTCTACACCGCATCTCTCCTGGAGGCCTTGGAAGCCTCTCGTGTGAGGCGCCCGCAGCGAGCCCTGACACCGTGCTGCCGGTGCGAAGGGCCGGAGGAGATGTGACGGTACCGCCGTCCTGCCGCGTGACCCACGGGGGACAGGCAATGGGGACGCTCCTCTGCGTCGCGGCCGTTCCTAGGTTTCTGCGTGAGGTTTCCTGACACTGGGAGGGTTTGGTAGCTGATTCATGGTCAGGGGGGCAGCGAGATGGTTTGTGTTCCTGCTGGGATTTTGACAATCCCACAGCTTCAGAGTTTGCCCCAGGAAGCAGACTAAAAGCTAATCCCCTCGGTTTTTGCGTGGCTGTGCTTGCGACTTGGTGCGCTCTAGGTCCTGCCTGCGTGGTGCTACCGCGGCTCCTGGAATAGCTTCAGCCCACTGAGTTTGTTTGAAAACTAAAAAGAACAAAAGCGTAGCAAAGGAGGGCTTGGCCGGGCACCTTGCCCTCTGCGCTCCCAGAGCTGCCTCAGCGGGAGCTTCAGTCCCCTCGGGAGGAGCTGGGGAGCCTGGAGGGGTCTGTTTGCGGGGGTGCCCACCCCTGGGCTCAGGGCTGATCCCGGCTGGCTGGAGGGAGGGCTCTCCCTTCCCAAATTTCTTGCCAGGCAGAGACCGTTGGTGATGACACAACGGATCTCCATGCAGCATCCCTTGGGCAACCTGGAGTTAAAAATAACTTCCCCTGGAGTGGTGGGAGGCAGGAGAGATGGGGCAATTTTAACTGCAGCTGTTAACAACTTGTTCTGAGCCTTAATGAGGAAATCATGAACTCCTGCCCACGTCAGAACTGCTTGCTCCTAGCCATGAGGGTGGCGACTGCTGTGTTTGAGAGCAGCGTTTAGTGACCCCTTATTGCCACCTTACCCGGGTGAAGCGCAGGGATTTCCCAGCTAAACAGCAAATCCTCTCGCAGCCAGGAAGTCGCGCGGCTTTGGGAGAGCTGGTCCCAAGCCCCCGCGTCCCAGCAGAGGCCTGGCCCAGGCTGGGCCCTTCAGGAGCAGGACAGCTCTGGATGCAGGGAAGAGAAGGGGACCGCTTCAGTTCAGACAGCGACAAATTGCTGAGCGCAGGGTACCTGCCCCAACTGAATTAAATACAATAATTACATAGATACCAAATTAAATACAGGAGTGGCTGAGTTGCTGAGCCACAAAGTCACATCCCTGTCCATATGGAGACTGGGCTGAAGCCAAGGGCCCTTGCTCCCAGGTGTGAGCGCAGCTGCTGGCGTTTGGGGAGCTATGGCTTCGACAAGGAAATACCTCTCCAGCAAACGGGAGTTGTACGCAGAACTCTGAGAAGGCCTGATGCCACCTCCCCGGGGAGATGCTGCTCAGGAACACAGCACTGGTTTCTCTTCCCTCTCTCCCAGCCGTGCTGCGGGGCTTGCCGTGCAGCCGCCGGGTGCTGCAGACTTACCCCGGTGCTTCCCCGTGCGAGGCGCAGCACCAGCCCTGTACCCCCAGCAGCGAGGGGCGGGCGGCAGGGGCACCTCGCGAGGGAGGGGATCACCCACACCGCGGGAGCAGGGGGATGGCAGGGCCAGGTGCGGCCCGTGTGCCTGTCGCACGCTGGCCGTGCCACCCCTTGCCTGTCACCACCCATCACCTGGACATCCCAGCGCTCGCGGGGCAGTGGGTAAAGGGGGTGCTGTGAACGTGCCCCAGTTAGCTGGGGTAGCGCAGGCTCCGTCAGACGGACAGACGGACTGCCTGGAGCAGCCTCACCATCACCCCCTGCCAGCAGCGCGGTGGCAAACACAGGGGTCCCGGCTTGGCCTATGTGACCGGGGACTGCCCCCCACGACCATGCAGAGAGGGACGGGCAGGGGCACAGGCGCCGTTCTGCAGCTTCCCTCCAACTGGTGAGGGGAAGTGGAGGTGGTTGTCTACAACCATCTGCCTTCCAAAGGGCCCCAGGACTCGGGACTGCCTGGAAAACGGCAAATCAGGCTGCCCTGCTCCCGTAGCCAGCAGGCAGCTCACTGCGGTCTGCGGGAAGCGGAGGGGCGAGGAGTCTGGCTAAGATGTAGGTTGCTATCTTAAAATAATTTGCACTAACACGGGGTTTTGTCTGCTGCTGAGTGGAGCTATTTGAAGATGCTTTGTTGTCAGCATCTGGCCCCGATCGCAAAGGAGTCTGTGTGTCCTCCTGGGACTCCACCACCCCAATGAACGGGAAGAGGGACTGGACCTGGCTGCAGGCTCCTCCAGTCCTGTCCTCCCCTCCCTTCCCTAGCACAAGGCTGTGCAATTCTTTGTGTGACACAGAACATCTTTAGCAGAAGAGCTTGGGAGACCTGTCCTCTCCCACCACACGAGTCCCGGGGAAGGAGAACTTTCCCGAGGCGTGGACACTCCGGTCTCAGAGCCACACAGCAAGCGGGTTGTCTGACCCACAAACCAGCTGGGATGCAGCTCGCGGCCTCGCTGCAGCCACCCCAGAGCGTGCAGCCCTCGGCGGGGACTTCGGCCCGTCCTCCCTTCGCATTGCTGATGAGCTGCAGCGTGCTGGTCCCGGGGGTGTTTGCTCCCTTGCTGCTCACCTCTCCATCAGTGTGTGGGGCTGGCCACTGATAATGGGTCATGCCTCTCCCAAGGGAAAAGGACACAGAAGACTCAAGTCACCCTCCTGGGCTTGCGCAGGTATTCATCCTTGAGCACAACCTTACGTTATTTTCCAGCCAGCAAACTGGAAAGTACCAGGAGCCTGCTCTCCCCCTCCCCAAATACCCGCATACCAAACCCCCAGAAAGCTGCTTGCCAGAGCTGGGGGTGAAAGTGTAAATGTTCCCGTCCTCCTTTCTCCCTCGGCTGTGAATGTCG